TCTGTATATCATATATCCAGGTATCTATCCATCTACCAATGTGTTGGCCTGGCAAGCCTGTCTTTTTACCTATCTTCTATCTATGTTTGTGTATATGTCAATAGATGATGTCCGTGTGTATCTACTATTCTGCACAAATACACATTTTCAAAGGTCTCCATTGAGTCATAAGCATTTAAAACAAGATATTAATTCGTTTCTTTGAACTATCTTTTGCCAAGCCCAAGCAAGATGCATGTATACACCTGTCGATGTTTTGTCTCACAGTTTCCCCTGGAGAAGACAGAGGCTTAGCCCCGGCGGGGGATAAATTATTTCCATTATTATTTAAACATTCTTGACAGCTGCCCAGGGTATTATAGACTTTACGTATGTGAGGTGAAATTTTTCTGCATTGTTTGAAACTTGTTTGATGATTTGCTGTGATTTCTTTTTGGACCTTGACATTTCGCCAGGTGAAAATATTGTCAGCGATACGTGTGTGTGTCTACGTGTGAAAAGTGGTTTAGAAGTGGACAGAAGAGTGATGGGTGATGGAGAAAAAGATGAGAGGGTGAATGGATGGACAGATACAGAGGGGAGCGAATTGGGTGGGTGACTTGGTGGATGGAGGGAGATCGAGGAGACAGGGAAATTTTGCCGCAGAGGTTTCCCAGATGGCCTCGGTTGGCGGGGGTAGCCGTCCTGTTCCGAGAATTCTGTGCGGTGCATGGTGTTTCGTTGTTTTTGAAACCCGGGGGCCCTAGACTGTCCGGGTCCCCCGGCGACCTCGCGGGTGGGATCCTGTGTCCCGAGCCCCGTGGGTTTGGCAGCTGCCCCCCAGGGGCACAGGGCGCCCCAAACCGCGCCTGTCGTCTGCTTGCGTCCCCCAGGTGGACCTGGCCGTGTCGCTCGCCGAGGTCTCCATCCGGGAGAAGGTCCGGGAGCGGAGTCCCGAGGAGGAGAGGAGGCAGTGGGAGCAGGGGCGCATGGACTACCTGGGCAGGGACGCCTTCGCCCGCATCCAGGAGAAGCTGGACCGCTTTCTGCAGTGAGCCGGGGCCGGCCGTGGCTCAGCGGTGACCGCGGCTGCACGCGGACGACGCGGCGTCTTCCGACCCTTTCCTGGGACGCCGCTGGGAAACTCCGTGCCTCTTTGATGGTCGACCGGCCT